AGAAGAGGCATCAAAGAGGACAGATGGTTCCAGCTTCCCACAGATCCTCGGGAATCTCTGAAACACAGGTGGGAAGCAAAACCCACCCACTTCCTCAAGTGGAGTCAGAGATATCTCTGTAAGAAGCTTGTAATTTTTAATGGCTTGTTTCTGACATGCTGTATTTCCAGACACATAGTTTCATGTTTAGAAGGCAACACATGCTTTTCTCAGTGGGGGTTATATTTGAAAATCATTCAAAGTATGAAATACATACACTTTTCATACACCTCACCTCACTTAAAAAACACCCGCAATATGCTCAGGTTTAAAACGTACTACCTGCTTTTTTTTGGAGAGGGTATTACCAGGCTGTAAAGAACAATAAAGAATTTGTACCTGCTGTGTAGATGGTGTGCTCATGAACAGTGGTCCATCCCCCTCCAGGCCCTTAAACTTTCTGAGTCAGTGTCCCAGCTCTGTTTTGCATTTCTGTCTTCATCTCTCATGGATATACGGCATTGTTTTCTTACAGAAGCAACCTGTGGCACAGGTCGTGCCTGACAATTAATTGAAATGCCCTTTTTGTTTTGCTGCTTCTTTGGTAAATACTCTTAACTCTTGCTAACCTGATGTCTACAGTTGTGTGAAGGGATGCTGATTCAACAAAGGGTGTTTAAGCCTGTATCTAAATTCAAAGAAATCACAGTCTGGAGATTTGACTTCGGCAAGTGTTTATCTTTCTGAACCATACCTGTGGTAGTTTTGCTAAAAATGTCTGCAAAAGGGAGTGGCTTTTAATTTGAAAATGGTAATGTTCTCTGAATTTTTGGCTTATTTTCTTCCAAAACAACCCAGCTGAGTTATCTTTTATTTTTGTTTTTAGAGAGTTTGTGAAAAGTATCTCCTTTTCATCTGTGTAGTATCTGAGTCATCTGTGTAGAGGATGGTAGACTGTAGAAGATACAAATTTGTAGCCCATTACACAACCTAGGCAGTACTTAGAGTAGTACTCTTCTTCCTTATGTAGAAGGATTTAAATTTTTGTGATAGATAAAGCTGCATAAGATGAAAGAAGAAATTGCAAATAGAAGAATTCAAATAGAAGAATGTCTATTCATTATGACATTCATTAATTATGGGAATTATGTAAAAAAAAGAATGAAGGGTGAGTCATTTGAGTCCGTGTTGTTAGGAAAAACAAAAGAAATTATTTTTGCTATTCTTAAAAGCAGTCAGTTTGCAGAGACTGGCATTCAGTGATACCCTTCTCTGTTCTGGCAGATCCTGTCAACTGAAAGCTTAGCAGGAAGTGCTCTTTACCTAGAAAAAGCTGTTTCTAGTGTACGTATGTTTTTGCCTTCCTAATTTGCAAACCCTTGATGGTAAGCTTATGACATTGCAAACCCTTGATGGTAAGCTTATGGCCTGGTGGAGGTTAGGAGCTTCAAATCAACCTGATGACCTTGCGATCCCAGTGCCCTGTGGCTGTTTGTGTCTTGCAGAGCGGGCGTACAGCCTGGCCGAGCAGTCCCGGGAGCAAAGGTACGGGCGTGTGTCGCGGAGAGCCGGGAGCAGGTCTGTGCAAGAATGACATCTAGGGAGCCAGCTGGGGAAAGAGACCCCCTGTGGGATGTGGGCTTTGAGCAGCTGTGTGGAGGCCCATGGCTTCTGTGAGCTCATGGTTAAACCGAGTACCAAGCTCAACCCAGCTCCCACTGCACACATCCTGCAGCTGGGATTTACTGTGGGATGCACAAAGTAGGGATGGGCTCCTGTCTCCTCCTGGGACTCCTGTCCACTGCGGGAATGTCCAAACCTCTGCAGTGGTTTGATTGGCTTTTGATACCATCTAGGCAAGCTCGTTACACGTTGCACACGCAGAGCGCTCCTTGGCAAGTGTTATTTTCATAAAGGGATAGCAATCTTTTTGGTAATGTGTTAAATCCACAACAAAGCATGCAATTGTAAATGTTAGGTGAAACAAGCACTGTCCAGATTCTGCTAATTGTTAATTAAAGGAATGTTGCCAGTGGAACGAGGAACATTTTTTCACTGGTCTCTATTTTAGGATTCAGGAAGAAGAATGGAATAAATATGCTGTACCCTCAAAAAATGAGTCTGAAAAATATAAAGTGAGTCGGACTTTCAGCTTTCTGATGAACAGGATGACTAGCACAAGGAATAAATGCAAGGTAATTTGGGATTTATATCCATATTGTTATGTATGATTATGTCACTGTAATTAAATGAATTATAGATGGAAGCTAAATTTTCATGTAAAGATAAATTATTTATCACAAAACCACAAAAGTCATAGGAAGATTATTTTCACTTTTCTTTTTTTAAATTTAAAACATATGCAGGTAACCCTGTATTAAAAACCAGCTTTCCTTTGATGTCATTAGCAATTCTGTTTGGGGATTTAGCCAACATTTAAATGGATGAATTATATTTAGGAAATATTTTCTTTGTTTAATAAAATGAAGAGATATGGGCCTGTCTCAAAAAGTAATTGAGTGTGTAAACATCTACATTAGGGTATATTTATTTGAATTTGCCTTATTTGAAGTTAATGGGACTCCTTGCATGAATAAACACTGCTTAGTGTTAAAGAGTTTAAGATTTGAGTCCTGCAGAGTCAAACAGGCCTACTACAGAAGGTAGATTACAACACTGTGGTTTAATTCTAAGACATCTTAATTTTAGATGAATGGC